AATCTACTGTCTGCTCTGCATCTCATCTTTATCTACTTCTCAACCTGAAAGGATTCGCTTCTTCCACTTGATGCACAGTTTTTTGTTTTTTTTTTCTTCATTTGTAATCCTTCTTTATGTCTGAACTCGAAGCCGCTCATTTCGAGTAGATTCCTGTTGGACTCTCGAGGCCCAGAGCTCTCTAATTTGCTTCTTGTCACCTCTCATGTGTGTGCTGGGGTTTTTTTTCCCCCCTCGTCTTTTACGACTTTAATCGTCTCTGTGACTGATGGCGTTAAAACACACTTTTACAAAATGTTAATGTCATAATCATTTCATCCGTCAACACGGGCGCTGGGATCGCTTTTAGCCGGCAGTGATTTACTCTTGGCTGGATATTGCTGCTCGGCGTGGCCCATTTCCTTCGCTCTCATGGGATGTCATATAACGCTCAACTTGTCACAACGGCGGGGAAGGAGAGGAGCCGGGACAACTTTGAATACATTGAGAGACCACTTGACATGTTATTGCCTCTTAGCGGCATTTCCCTGATGATATAAAGCGCTAAATTGCAAAGTGAAAAACCTGTTAATGTTTCGGCGCTCCATCATCTGCCTCTTTTAAAGTCAGTCAGCGCACAATCAGCATTCCCCTCCACTCAGGAGCCGTCGGGGGGTTGAGGGGAGACACCAGCCTATTACAGGCTCCCATCACTGAGATCCATTAAAGAGCCTTTATTGGGCTCAGGACCATTTCCAGCAGAAAAGGTAATCCAATTGTCTTTACTCCTGTAATAGTCTTCCCTGTCTCAGTCCTTCCTCCCTCCTGTGCAACATCCTCTCTCAGACATCAGCTCGGCCTGATGAGGCAGTTTTGCACATGAGAGCAAATATCACATCAGACGAATGACAACAAAGAGCATCGCCAGTACACCGACACATTACAGGCGGCTTCACGTTTAAGTGGTGCTTTTACGGTCCGGCCGCTTCCCCGAATGAACTCTAATGGCCGATAATGTGGTCGGTCCAGTCTGCCACAACGGCCTCTGCTCAGGATTTTGGAGAGTGGCTGCAGACATTTGTTCTGTTTAGTTACAACAGCGAAGCTGAGCGCTGATGTTGAGGGGAAAAGGAAATGCTGGTGGTTAAAGCTGG